CCCAAGGGCGCCCCCCGGGGGTCTCACAGGGTGACGATGTCGGCGTTGGCCAAGTCCATGGCGATGGTCAGGGGGTCCCTCCCGTCCGCGTCCACCGCGTTGACGTCGGCCCCCCGCTTCAGGAACAGGCAGGCCAGGCTGGAATTTGGGGAGGGGGACATCGAGGGGACATTTTTGGGGAGGGGGGCTTTGGGGTCGGGGGCAACGCGGGGATTCTAAAGGGACAACAGTGAGGTTGAGGTCACCCATCCGGGTGCTGACCGAGGCGGGGCCCGCTTAGCTTCCCGTGTGGAAAACCGCGCTGGGGATCCGCCGAGAAAAGGGGAAATTTTGGGGGGGATTTTGCACCCCCCAAAAAGGAAAAGGGGACCCCCCCCCCTCCGCAATGGGATTGGGACTCTCTAAAGGGGAATTGGACCCCTAGAGTGGAATAGGGATCTCCCGAAGGGATTACAGGCCCCTGAATGGAAGAGAGACCCCCAAAAATGGAATAGGGACCCTCCAAAAAAGCGGGGACCCCCCCCAAAGGGAATAGGGACCCCCGAGAATGGAAGAGAAGCCCCCTAAAGGGAAAAGGTGCAGCCCAAGGGAGCAGGGGACTCCCCCTCAAAAAGGGATTTAGGCACTGCCTCCAAATAACAACAGCCTGAGAATGGGACAGGGACCCCCATAAAAGGGAATAGGGACCCCCAAAGAGAAACAGGACCCCCAAAAGGAAAGAGACCACCCGAAAAAGAAACTGGGTGAAAACCCTCTCGAAATAACCCAGCTCGGGTCACCCATCCAGGCCCTGACCAGGGCAGACCCTGCTTAGCTTCGCCCACAGCCACTTTAGGGGTGAGACCCGCCACCATTCACTGAATGGGGGCTGAACTCAGGGCTCTCCCCAGTCCCTCCCAGTCTGTCCCAGTCTGTCCCAGTCACTCCCAGTCACTCCCAGTCTGTCCCAGTCACTCCCAGTCACTCCCACTCCCTCCCAGTCCCTCCCAGTCTGTCCCAGTCA